TCTGGTTTTTGGTAGTTTAGTTTGCTTTTATTTCATCCTCCACCTGAGCATTTTTTGATCGTTTCCTCTGCCTTGAAATCTACATAAAGTTCACTGCACTGTTCCAGGAAACAGCAGATGTGCAGGTCGTCCTGCAAGCTGCAGTTTGGGTGACATAATCTCTGGGAGTTGGCAGCAGAAAAGGTGCACATGTGACTGAGAACAAAAATGATGGATGGCTAATTGAAGATGAAAGATGAATGGCGTCCCGCGCGGTGACAGCTTTCATCTCTTTTCATCGACAGAAGCAGAGGTGGGATTTGTGCTCGTGTGAATTCTAATGTGGACGAAAATATGGTTTAAAACACAAAAAGAAGGTGAGAGGTGTTTTTAATTGGACGAAGAGGCTCGTTAAATGAATCTGGGACTGGGCGTGAGGTCTCTATGTTTTAGGATGCATGAGCAGGCTCATCTGCCATCTAACTTTGCAGAAATCCATCACTTCTGCTCTCCCATTGAAAGAGCAGGATATCTGTTTAGGCTGACATCTAATCAAGAACTAATTACCAGAAGTAGCAGTTAATAAACTCTCCTGTTTTTCTTAGAATATAAATATCTGTTTATTTTTAATGGGAAACACTGTTAATGACAGTTATCCTGACACAAAAGTGAACGTCTGTATAATGTAATTACACATGTGTGTGTGTCTACCACCCCCTGTTAGCAGACACAAACAGAGAGGACTGAGCAGCACAATTTACTCTCTCTGCCTTTTCTCCCCTATCTTTACCTCTTTAGAGCACAATCGGCCCAACAGTAATGGATTAAAAACCCACACACTCAGTCATTTACCGGAATCCCTCCACAGCTACGTTTTTTAGTGATCACAGCATTTGTGTATCAGTGCATGTTTGTGTTTTGAAGTGAAGGTCACCTGTCTTATACGTATCTCCGCTTCGCTGTAATTGCTGTTCTCTCAGGACCTAAAGCCAAAATCTCCTTCAACAGCAGCTAAACAACACAAATGCTCCAAGGGAGCAAACTGTTTGTGTTCTCACAAGATGAAGTGTTTCATTAACACCCAGCAAAAGATGCTAAGAGCAGAAGAAGGGAGTGTCGTGCACGTCAAACAGAGACAGAGAGGGCTTGTTGAGACGACGGCTCGCAGGAAACAGACGCTGGGGAGGTCCGGTGTTTTCTCTTCCCTCACCTCAGTTATTGTCTCACTCTGGTCACTCTCATTCACTATTTATTAAAAGCAGTAACTTCTGAGTTGCCTTAAAATGACAAAACGTCCTTTCTGTCTTCTTACAGCAGCAGCATGGCTCTGAGGCCCAACTCTTTAATAAACCCTACAGTAAAAATATGATGAATGCTGCAAAAATACAATAAACATTTCACTGTGAGTTTACGCTCATAGAGGAAGGGAAAAGCAAATATTTAAACATCATAGGGGTTGTATGAACTAGTCGACTTCACTGCTCTGTAGTGACTTTTTATGCCTGTCATCGACTAGTCGCTGTCACGTGATAATGACAAGATGCAGTCCTCAGAAAAGACAGCAGGTGACGAGCCCCTGCGCGTCTGGATCGAGGCCGAGGCGACACGCTGTGCCAGAGCGTCGTATTGACACCTGCCGTAAAACGGACATTTAACCAGATTGTGACCTTTTCCCTCTTGCAATTTAACATTCCCCTCACCCCCATCCTAATCCTAACCAGCTTGCACATGCAAAGCTCTGATCGCTGACGCACTCCAGACATCTGCGTCCTGAGCACAGCCACAGTAACATTATCAAATTAGGTGTCGCCACCTCAAAAACAAATTTAACATGCGATCGTTCATGTCGGCTCATTTCCTTTTATGTTTTCTGTCTTTCATTTTTGCCTGATGCACCCCGCTGCTGTGGAGCGGGGCGCATCATCTGTTTTGTCCTCCGGTGACGCACCGATCACTGATACGGCCGGCGAGCATCGAGCACTCTGCTGTTTTTGTGGTCGGTAGATCTTTTAGAACTGCAGTTCAAAGGTAACTCATAAGGTGAATATATATGAACCCAGGTAGCAGTTTTTCTTTAGGATTGAGAGGAGATGCAGGAAGATAATAAACAGACAGGACAGAAAAATAGTCAAATAAAAACAAGTTAGTTTTTGTACCTGGTGGTTATAACAAACAGACACCATTGAAGGTAATCAGAAGTGAGGAACAGAAAATGAAATAATTATTTTAATGCTTAGAGCAGCAGAAACTCTGAGAGGCTGCAGGCGCATCAGTGAGTTTGCGGCCGCTGCGCAGGGGGAGGGGGTGGGGGTGGGGCTGAAGCAGAAACTACCGTTGTTAAAAGAGATATGTTTAACTTTTAAAATGTGGGCGCAATTTTAATTGTCAAAAACTCCAGCGAACCAACCGACCCCCCCCCCCCCCCCACCACCACCACCACCACCACCGCCGCCGCTTCAGGTGTATGATGTCATCAACGACTAGTCTAAGTCGACTCGATTTTCATTGCTTGACTGTCGACTTTTAAAAAAATGAAGTCATGCAACCCCTACAACATCCCACTTCAGATAAAAACTCTAGGATTGCAAATAAAAAGCAATGAAATGTATTTTCCATAGACAACTTTCATACAGAAGCTGAAAAAGTGTGGTGATGCTGCTGCAGCTGCGGCGGAGGGAACTAAATGCTTTCACAAAGGACATGTATTTGTGTGAGCTGCAGACCACAGCCTGTGGCCCCAGCAGGTTACTTAGAAGGTGGTAAATAATTTCTCCAAATGTAATTGAATAAATAAATAAATAAATAAAATTCTTTGAATAAATGTGAAAGGATCACCAGCAAATCTTCTGATTTATTTATTTATTTATTTTTGATTTAGCAAATATAAATGATTAAACTTTAGTTTTAGGTTAATCTATCTGCTACAAAATAACATGATAACAATGCTTAAAATATTAAAATACATGATGATGTTGCATTTTACTTAATGAGCATCTGACTTTAGCAAAAACAACTAATTTCTTTTGAAATATTAAAATAAAATTGTTTCATATGAATCATGTGTAGATTTTAGATACATGCATTAATTTTATTAACTTTAATGTATGCAGCACTGGGATGTGAAATAAAAAAGAAATAGTGCAGGCATCAGATTGAGAAGTGAATTTAGCAGAATTTTAATATTAAAAGACTCAGATTGATGTTTGGGACATCGTATAGTGTGTAGTGTGGGCCTTCAGTTAAAAAAGTGATCTTCTCTAGATGACGTTTGCTGATCCATCTTAATAAACAATTTTACACAATTAAATATAATCATCGTATAATTATGGTAAAATCACAACAGGTCTAGAAAACAATTTCTGTGATGCTATTGGACTAACCTGACACCTGTGTGGTACTGATAACACAGCTCATACATACTGATCAGTTTTGCTTTTCAAACATGTCTGAGACGTCTTTTTAAATGGACTGACAGGAAAAAAAACAGATAAAAGGAGACATAATGCAGCAAAATAGGACCAAATACATGAATAAATAAATCTCAATTTAAGACAGAGAGCAAAAAACCACACAAATGTATAAAAAATCATCCACTGTAAGAATACTAATGCCTTCAACAGGCACTTCATTTAGGTGTGTCTGCTGCCGGCCTGTGCACTCACTGCTAATACTCCTTCATTTTCTCCTACTGTGGCATCCTCCAAGGTTGGTAATCATTGCGTGCTTCTCAGCTGTGATTTTTGATTATTTTTTACTGAACATCTAATAAAAACATCTCACCTGGAGCTTGCAACACTCCATCACAGACACACTCATTTGACTCCACTGTGTTACACACAAAATCACATAAATTCACCTGGAGACAGAGGTGTAAAACTAGAGAGGGGCTTAAAGGCAGGAATGGATCGTCAGCAAGTGTAATTGGACCAGTTGTGTTTATGTGCTGTAAATTTGTCTGAGGCAGAGATATAGGGGGTGAGGGTGGTTTTGCATTTGGTGTGTGTACTTGAACATATAGGAAAACAGATCAATGTGTTCTTATCCTCCTTTTCCCAGTTGTAACACAACCAGGTAACACTTTTAGGTCAGGAAAAGGGGGAGGAGGAAGGGAGGTGCAGGGAAAAAGCAACAAAATCCAACAAAATTATATATTTGACACTGACATGCTTCTCCTCTCATCCACCAATAAGAATGACTGCAGTCTACTGCATCCTTGCTTTATCAAACATTGTGTATTAACAAATGTGCTCCAGCCATTTTATAAACATACGCATCATTTTCTCCATCTGACTAGAGGTCAATGAAACACAGCACAAGGTGACTCGAGCACTTTGTGTTGGTGGTGCATATATCACTGGCTATTCTCTGATGGGGGTGGGGCCAGGAGGGACATTGACAAGGATGCTGCATCAAAGAAACAGTTTGCATCTTAAAGCCAAAGCAAAACTAAAAAAAAACCTTTAACATGTTCTATATTTTACTCACCGTTTTCTCTAAACAAGCTGCAAAATAAGACATTTGCAAAAACACTAAACTGCTCACGGAAAGCAAAAAAATCAGAAAACTGATTATCTATCCTTTGGGATGTAGGACGAATGATGTATGACCATTGTTATCAATTTTTTATCAATCAAGAACTGCCAGCCATGCTGAGAAGAAAGCATTTATCATTAATTAATGCCTAATGTAACAGCGTATTTAATGGCTGTTTTTAAATGGATCTAATTGTCTGGTTTGTTACGAGAACGCAACATCATGATCAGCATGGAGGAACAGGAGCTCAGACAATCAAAGTTGGATGAGTGGTGGGACAGAAAGAGAGCAAGGTGCAAAATAAAGATAAAAGAAGAGCACAGAGTGGTGAGTTGAGGCTAAAGTGGGGCAAAGAAGAAGAAGGAGGACGGTGACCAAAAAGCTCGGAAAGGAGAGTGAGCTGGAAGTATGAGAGATAGAACATTAAAGTCACTAAGTGAGCAGTAGTGGACCGCAAAGATATAAATAAAGAGAGCAGTTGGCGCAAGAGTGTGTGTTTCTGTGTGAGTGTGTTTGTGGCCTGGCTTGACTCCCGGGAGCAGACAACTGTATGTTGCCAAAGTTTCACTTGGTCCACCAACAGGGCCCAGTTCAAAGGAGAGAAGTACACAAACCTTAAAACCACAGTAATACAGCGGAATGAGCCACTAACATGGAGAAACAGGGGGAAAGGGAGACGGAGGCGTGCAACATTTCTCAAAGATTTGTGAGACTTAATGAGAAAATTGCAGTAGATAGAAACAGAGATAGAAATCGATTAGGGTGAGGAAGAATGGGAGGGGGTAAGAGTGATGGAGAGAGAGGGAGAGAGAGGGTGGGAGCAGGGAGGGGAGGATCAGTGGGCTCCGCGAGCATGCGAGGCTCAGCAGCGTCAGAATGAGACCGAGAGAGATAGAGAGCGGTAAAGTCAGAGGAGAGCACTGATGACTAAAGGATTAACAGACACCAGAGAGACATGCCGAGAAGGAGGGAGGAGAAGCATGAGGACAAAAACAGGTAAGAGAAGGGAAAACAGAAAAACAAAGATCGATTTTAAAGAAGAGGGCAATTAAGAGGAGTTAAAATGTAGAAGATTAACCGGGGCTTTAATAATGATGCTCACAGCTAGGACTTCACCTTTAAAAGGAGATCATCCAAGATAATAAACTCTGGCTAGGATTTGTTTGGAAGAAATTGTAATACTTGGACAATGGATCAGTTGAACATCTCCTAGAATATAAAACACCTGTAAACACTTGTGTTTTTACATGGACGTTAAATCAGAAGTCTGTGTTCCTCACTAACACTGAGCTCCAGGGAAATGTGTGATCATTCTCACCGAGCGTTGTCAGTGTTTATGCTACTGTATATGTGTTAGTGTTTATGTGGTAGTATATAAGTGTCAGTGTATATGTGTTAGTGTTTATGTGGTAGTATATATGTGTCAGTGTTTATGCTACTGTATATCTGTTAGTGTTTATGTGGTAGTATGTAGGTGTCAGTGTATATGTGTTAGTGTTTATGTGGTAGTATATAAGTGTCAGTGTATATGTGTTAGTGTTTATGTGGTAGTATATAAGTGTCAGCGTATATGTGTCAGTATATGTTAGTATACATGTGCTAGTGTTTGTGTTTGTGCAGTGGTTCACAATCTACGGTATGTGACCGCCCAAGGGGAACCCCAATAGGCTACATGGTGTCCCCACAATTGTGTGCATGCTGGGAACCACTGTTTTAGTGTATGTGTGGAAGTATGTATATGTTAGTGAATATGTGTTAATGTTAGTTTATATATGTTAGTGTATGTGTTAAGTGTATATGTGTTAGTTTACGTGTATTAGTGTAAATATGTCAGTGTAAATGTGTTAGTTTATGTGTTAAGTGCACATGTGTTAGAATATATGGAAAAGTGTATACATGTTAGTGTATATGTGTTAGTGTATGTGTATAAGTGTAAATATGTTAGTGTAAATGTGTTAGTTTATGTGTTAAGTGCACATGTGTTAGTATATATGGAAAAGTATATACATGTTAGTGTAGATGTGTTAGTGTATGCGTGTTAAGTGTATATGTGTTTGTGTATGTGTTAGTATAATATGTATATGTTAGTGTATATGTGTTATTTTATGCGTGTTAAGAGTATATATGCTAATGTATTTGTGTTTGTGTATATATGTTAGTGGAGATGTGTTAGTGTATATGTGTAAAGTGTAGATGTGTTAGTATATGCGTGTTTTGTGTATATATGTTTATGTGTATGTGTTAGTGTATATGTGTTAGTGTATATGCATTAGTGTATATGCATCAGTGTATATATGTTAGTGTATATGTGTTAGTGTATATATGTTAGTGTAAATGTATTAGTTTATGTGTTAAATGTGCATGTGCTAGTATACTTGGAAAAGTGTATACCGTATATGTCAGTGTAGATGTGTTAGTACATGCGTGTTAAGTGAATAAATGTTAATGCATGTGTGTTAGTGTATATGTATTAATGTATATGTGTTGGTGTAAATGTGTTAAGTTTATATGCGTTAGTGTATATTTGTTAGTATATATATGTTAGCGTATGTATGTTAGTGTATATGCATTAGTGTATATGCGTTAGTGTATATATATGTTAGTGTATATGCATTAGTGTATATGCGTTAGTGTATATATGTTAGTGTATATGCATTAGTGTATATGCGTTAGTGTATATATGTTAGTGTATATGCATTAGTGTAATTATGTTAGTGTATATGCATTAGTGTATATGCATTAGTGTATATATGATAATGTATATGCATTAGTGTATATGCGTTAGTGTATATATGTTAGTGTATATGCATTAGTGTATATATGATAATGTATATGCGTTAGTGTATATGCGTTAGTATATATGCTAGTGTATATGCGTTAGTGGATATGCGTTAGTGTAAATATGTTAGTTTATATGCGTTAGTGTATATATGCTAGTGTATATATGCTAGTGTATATGTGTTAGTGTATGTGGGTTAGTGTATATGC